GAGGGACGTTTCCGGCTCAACATCACCCTCAACCCCAGCGGTGAAGGAGCTTTTTTGCATCTGGTTTCCCGGGGTGGGTTGGACCGAGAGGCCACCCCCACCTACCAGCTGTTGGTGCAAGTGGAGGACAAGGGTGAGCCCCGTCGGCGCGGATACCTTCAGGTCAACGTCACCGTCCAGGACATCAATGACAACCCACCCATCTTCAGCCAGACTCTTTACCAGGCACGAGTGCCTGAGGATGCGCCTGTTGGGGCCAGTGTTCTCCAGGTTGCTGCAGCTGATGCTGATGAAGGCACCAATGCTGACATCCGCTACCGCCTGGAAGGAGGTGATGGCGGCGGTGGTGGTGGGGAGGGGGCTGGCGGCCTCCCATTTGAGGTGGACCCTGAGAGTGGAGTGATTCGCATCCGGGAGCGCTTGGACTACGAGATGAGACAGCAGTACTCGCTGACGGTGCAGGCCATGGACCGAGGGGTGCCAGCGCTGAGTGGCCGGGCTGAGGCCCTCATCCGCCTGCTCGACGTCAATGACAATGAGCCCCGGGTGAAGTTTCGCTATTTCCCAGCCACCTCCCGCTTTGCCTCTGTGGACGAGAACGCAGCCCCTGGCACGGTGGTGGCCCTGCTGACGGTGAGTGATGCCGACTCCCCCGCGGCCAACGGGAATATCTCCGTGTCGATCCTGGCGGGAAACGAGCAGCGGCACTTTGAGGTGCACAGCAGTAAGGTACCCAACCTCAGCCTTATAAAGGTAGCAGCTGCGTTGGACCGGGAGCGCATCCCGGCCTATAACCTTACGGTGGCAGTGGCGGATAACTACGGGGCCCCACCACCACCCTCGGGCTCCCCCACTTCTGCCCTTTCCCCCGACGGGACAGTGGCAGCTCCTGTGAGCCGTTCGTCAGTAGCTAGCCTGGTGATCTTTGTGAATGACATTAACGACCACCCCCCCGTCTTCGGGCAGTCGGTCTACAGGGTGAACATCAGTGAGGAGGTGCCCCTGGGCAGCTATGTGCGGGGCCTGAGTGCCACGGACCGTGACTCGGGCCTCAACGCCAACCTCAAATACAGCATCGTCTCGGGCAACGAGCTTGGCTGGTTTCGCATCAGCGAGCACAGCGGGCTAGTCACCACGGCCAGCCCGGAGGGCGACACGGCTGGGCATGCTGTGGGCACGTCCATCTCCAGCGGGCTGGACCGGGAGACTGCTTCTCAAGTGGTGCTCAACATCAGTGCTCGTGACCAAGGGGTGCAGCCCAAGTTTTCCTATGCACAGCTGGTGGTGACCATTCTGGATGTCAATGACAACAAACCTCGCTTCAGTCAACCGGAGGGCTACCAGGTGTCCCTGGCTGAGAACTCTCCATCAGGAACTGAGCTGCTGGTCCTGAGTGCCACAGATGGGGACCTGGGGGACAATGGGACTGTCCGCTTCTCCCTGCAGGAAGCTGAGCCGTCACCAGCAGCGGTTGGCCCCTCCTCAGTGACGCCTCGCCGGATCTTTCGCTTGGATCCGGTGTCAGGCAAGCTTAGCACCATCTCGCAGCTGGACCGGGAGGAGCAGGCTTACTTCTCCCTGCAGGTCCTGGCCGCTGATTTAGGCTCTCCTCCCCTTTCTTCAATAGCCCGAGTTAACGTGAGTCTCCTGGATGTGAATGACAATAGCCCTGTGTTCTACCCCGTTCAGTATTTTGCCCATATCCAAGAGAATGAGCCAGCCGGAACCTATGTGACCACAGTGTCTGCCACGGACCCTGATCTGGGACCCAATGGGACGGTCAAGTACAGCATCTCAGCTGGAGACACTTCCAGGTTTCAGGTCCATGGCCAAACAGGGGTCATCACAACGAAAATAGCCCTTGACAGGGAGGAGAAAACTGCTTACCAGTTGCAGATTGTGGCCACTGATGGTGGCCATCTTCAGTCGCAGAACCAAGCCATTGTCACCATCACTGTCTTGGACACCCAGGACAATCCACCGGTTTTCAGCCAGGGCACGTACAGTTTTGTTGTCTTTGAAAATGTTGCCCTAGGTTACCACGTAGGTACTGTTTTTGCTTCCACCATGGACCTCAATACCAACATCAGTTACCTTATTACGACAGGTGACCAACGGGGCATGTTTGCCATCAACAGAGTGACGGGGCAGATCACCACAGCCAGTATTATTGACAGGGAGGAGCAAGCATTTTACCAGCTGAAGGTGGTTGCTAGTGGTGGGGCGATAACTGGAGATGCTATCGTCAATATAACTGTCAAAGATTTAAATGACAATTCCCCACACTTTATTCACGCGGTGGAAAGTGTAAATGTGGTTGAAAACTGGAAAGCTGGGCATACCATATTCCAGGCCAAAGCTCTTGATCCTGATGAAGGTGTTAATGGCGTGGTCCTTTACAGCCTTAAGCAAAACCCAAAGGGCTTGTTTTCGATCAATGAACAAACAGGTGCCATAAGCTTAATAGGGCCACTGGACATAAACGCTGGCTCTTACCAGGTTGAAATCCTGGCCTCGGATATGGGGGTGCCGCAGCTGTCCTCTAACTTTATCCTGACCGTCTCTGTCCATGATGTAAATGATAACCCGCCTGTGTTTGACCAGCTTTCCTATGAAATTACTATTTTGGAGTCAGAGCCTGTGAATTCCAGGTTCTTTAAGGTGCAGGCTTCTGACAAGGACTCAGGAGTGAATGGTGAAATAGCTTATAGTATAATTGAAGGAAATACTGGGGACGCCTTTGGCATATTCCCAGATGGTCAGCTGTATATAAAAAGTGAACTGGACCGTGAACTTCAGGAAAGATATATTTTACTGGTTGTTGCCTCTGATAGAGCAGTAGAACCGCTCAATGCTACTGTGAATGTTACCGTAATTCTGGAGGATGTAAATGATAACAGGCCCCTGTTCAACAGTACCAACTATGTATTTTATTTCGAAGAGGAGCAGAGAGGTGGATCGTATGTAGGTAAAATAAATGCTGTAGATAAAGACTTTGGGCCAAATGGTGAAGTCAGGTATTCATTTGAGCATATGCAGCCAGATTTTGAGCTGAACACGGTAACTGGGGAAATAAGAAGCACTCATCAGTTTGACAGAGAAGCTCTTATGAGGCAAAGGGGAGCTGCGGTATTTAGTCTCACGGTAATAGCAACAGATCAGGGGTTGCCAAAGCCTCTAAAGGATCAGGCAACTGTACAAATCTACATGAAAGACATCAATGATAATGCTCCCAAATTTTTGAAAGATCTCTACCAAGCTACTATATCAGAACTGGCAGCAAATCTGACACAGGTTCTGAGAGTCTCTGCCTCAGATGTTGATGAAGGGGTTAATGGATTGATTCACTACTCTGTAATCAAGGGGAATGAAGAAAACCAGTTTGCAATAGATAGTAGCACAGGCCAAGTGACCTTAGTAGGCAAACTAGATCATGAAGCTAGTGCGTCATATTCGCTTGTCATCCAAGCGGTAGACTCTGGAGCGGTTTCCCTAAGTTCAACTTGCATGTTGAGTATTGATGTATTGGATGAAAATGACAACAGTCCTTCCTTCCCTAAATCAACCTTGTTAGTGGATGTCTTGGAAAATATGAGAGTTGGTGAACTTGTGTCGTCTGTCACTGCCACTGATTCTGATTCAGGTGACAATGCTGACCTCCACTATAGCATTACGGGGACAAACAATCACGGGACCTTTAGCATCAGTCCCAACACCGGTAGTATTTTTCTGGCAAAGAAGCTGGACTTTGAGACGCAATCTCTGTATAAGCTAAATATAACAGCAAAAGACCAAGGAAGGCCTCCACGGTCATCTACAATGTCAGTGGTAATACACGTTAGGGATTTCAATGACAACCCTCCTAATTTTCCTCCGGGGGACATCTTTAAATCTATTGTTGAGAACGTTCCTGTTGGTAGCTCTGTCATTTCTGTGACTGCTCATGATCCAGATGCAGATATTAATGGGCAGCTAACATATGCAATCATTCAACAGATGCCAAGAGGTAATCATTTCCGTATAGATGAAGTGAGAGGAACAATATTTACCAATGCTGAAATAGATCGTGAGTTTGCTAATCTCTTTGAGTTAACAGTGAAAGCCACCGATCAGGCTGTTCCTGTGGAGTCCAGACGATTTGCTTTGAAGAATGTGACCATTTTGGTGACGGATCAAAATGACAATGTTCCTGTGTTCATATCGCAAAATGCTCTTGCTGCTGACCCCTCGGTTGTGATCGGTTCGATCCTAACGACAATTATTGCTGCAGATCCTGACGAGGGTGCAAACGGAGAAGTGGAATATGAAATAGTCAATGGAGATACCGAAACCTTCATTGTGGATCGCTATAGCGGAGATTTAAGAGTAGCGTCAGCTTTGGTGCCTTCTCAGCTCATATACAATCTCATAGTTTCTGCCACGGATCTTGGCCCTGAAAGGAGAAAATCCACCACCGAGATGACTATAATTCTGCAAGGGGTTGATGGGCCCGTTTTCACTCAGCCGAAATACATAACCATCTTAAAAGAAGGTGAACCTATCGGGACAAACGTGATATCTATCGAAGCAGCGAGTCCGCGGGGCTCCGAAGCTCAGGTGGAATATTACATCGTGTCTGTCCGATGCGAAGATAAGAGTCTTGGGCGCCTCTTCACCATCGGGCGCCATACTGGTGTCATCCAGACCGCTGCCATTTTGGACAGGGAGCAAGGAGCACGTCTCTACTTGGTGGATGTTTATGCCATTGAGAAGTCGTCTGTTTTGCCCCGCACACAACGAGCAGAGGTAAAGCTTTTATTCAGTAATCATTTACCTGTTTGCTTTCTAAATGAGACATTTTGTGTATTTGTTGTTAGCTGTTTCACAGGCGGTACTGCACTGCAGAAGACCTGCAAGCTAAGTCTGCCGATTGATTAGTTAAAGATAACATTTCAATTAGTATACCTCAAACTGTTTTCCTCAAAGCCGCCTCCCTAGAAATTTGAGAGCACCTTAGGCATAGTGCTTAAATTTGGCTACCATAGGCACAATGTTTTGGCTAAATAAATTTTAGGCACTAAATACTTCAGGTGCTAAAAGCTTTAATCACGGGCATTTTGGAGTTTTGCATGTCTTCTCATTTTAGCAGTCATTGCTTATTTTAAGTCTCTCTATTCCCATGTGAATTATAACTGAACCTCTCTCATTACAGTCGTCATGTCGGTATTTGTCTGAGAACTGGCTGGTAGGGCATTGCCCTTTGAACAGCTCATCCAGTGTCTCGAGTCTTGGATGTGCTTGGTGTCCCTGCCCGGTTAAGTCCCTCAGATAGGGGTTACTATTTTAGGTTACTACTTTACCCTCACTGATGTGTATGCAAATGGACTTGTTTCTCATCTTGGATGTGACAGAGGGTAAAAGTGTAACGCTTTAGCTGGCAGCTTTGCTTATCACAAAGCTATTTGTCGTCTTGTTGACTTGAAGGGTCTTTAAATGTTCTCTGCATGACTAGCTTGAGGAGCTTGGAAAACAGGTTTGAAACATCAGCTGTGAAGTGCAAATGTTTTATTTACTCTGTCTGGTAATTGAGCCACAGAGCAGATCCTTTACACCATTCTTGCCATCCTCTGTGGGAATACTGAGAAGCCTGGTGTGAAAGGGAGCCTTGAGTTTGTTTTAAGTTGCACCATCTTCTGCAGCTGCCTTCTGCAGTTCGTTTGGAGCCATTTAACTTGCAGTTCCTGGAGGTTTGGGGCTGACACTGCCGAGTGGGTCAACCAGCAGAGGATGCTGGTAGTGTGTAGCGGTTCAACCATTTTCCTTACCTCAATATTGCATGGCCCTGTGCATCCCAGGCGTTACCCCCAGGTATACCTCCTCTTGGGAATTATGTCTTAGTTTTGAGCCACCAAGGATACTGTGGTAGTTTGAGTTTTTTATTTTAGCAGATGTGGTATTTCTAAATCTTACTTGGCAGCTGAGGCTTTTTCTCTTCATAACCACTTTTTTTTGTTGTTGTTTTACTGTAGTTTAAGTATGATCTGTGTAGGTACGTAACCTACTGTCCTATACTGGCAGTAATGCCGATGCTCTGGAAAGTAATTGTTAGGCAGGGAGTGTGAGCACTGTTCAAACTCAAAGATTTCTTAGCACGTATGAGAGAGCTCATCTTAGTGTGTGTGCTGTTGATTATCGTGTTTTGAAGAGCAGTAGTGTATTGGAAAATGACCTGTTCTAGTCATGCTGCTGTTTTAGATAATTCATGGTACTTTTATGAGAAGATTCCTGTTATAGGTCTTTGTACACCTGCTAATAATTTATAAAAGATTAAACCTTTGTCACTTTTTCTTTTATTATTATTATGTGTATTTTTGTCTCGATGGACAGTTGTGTTGAAGGTTAAACCTTTCTCAGTAGGTATCTGTATTACAATCCTTCAACTTTGGGTCTGCCCTCATGACCGAAGAGTTTCTTGACTGAAAGAGGACTTGTAGGAGACCCTATGGTTGCAATAGTCTCGCACGTTGTAAAAGTATTTAATACGAAGATTTTGGTGAGCAGGAAACAGAACAACCATTGACACTTTAAACAAATTTTACATTGTTGAATACAAACAACTCCTGAAATCAAACGCAAATATTTTGTTCTGTAAAGAGCGTTGAAAGCAATAGTTGGGAGCTAGGATTTCCTATTACTGGTTGTATCTTTACAGCTTCTAAAATGCTTCTTCTCCCAAATGTAAATAGCTTACTGTGCTTCTTTAGAAATATAATATAAATTATAATCAGCTATCAACTTTAAAAAAAACATAACCATATGCAGTCTTTCTCTTGACTGATTGAATTTCTCTGGAATGGCTTTTGCTGTCCTAGACTTGAACAAGAAGTACTACAGTGACATCCTTTGTGCAAGCTGACTGTCAGTGGGTAGTGAATAAGCAGTGCAGCTCTCTTCCATGTTGTTTTTGGATGGCAACTTTTTTTGGTTTTGGTTTGATGTATGCAGTGCACACAGTTTGGTCTCAGAGTTTGCTGCCAATCTTCTTTCACAAAAAACCAGCCAGTACCCAAGTATGTGAACGCTCTCACTTATCTTCGGAAATGCACCTTAAAGCACGCTCGTGCTAAAGTCTTTGTGCATCAAATGTGTAATTCAGAAAGTTTAATGGTTTAGTCCTGGGTTTTAAGGTGATAGCTTGAGTGGTGGTATAACCAGAACACTGATGAGGGACAATGAATGCATGTGAACCTGTAGAATATCTAAAGCCACAAAACTTAAGTGATCTTTCATCCATAATATCTTCAACATTTTTTAGTATATACATGGCAAGATGAAAGTTCGACTGATTTTAGATTTCCTCTTAAGTTGTAAAGCATTGGTGCAGGTGTGCAGACAAAGCCTAATAGGTATGGTACCACTATACCTAACAGCTTTCTGCTGTACAGATAAGGTGGATAAAAGTTTTGTTTGTATTCTGTTTTTTGTTTGTTTGTTGGTTTTGTGAGGAAAAAGCTTGAGTGTTGTGTATTTTCTTTCTTCCTTCTCTTATGACAAGTATGTTGGGGTTTGCTTCTGAATATGGTTAAAGAAAAGGGAAAAAACAGTAAAAGGATGTGCTTAACTTCTACATTCTTCTTCACCGCCTTCTATGCCTTCTGCCCTGATGCCAGACATCATCTTAATTGCGCCGTAACGTGCGAGTGAACCACTGAGCACTCGGAGCCGCCCAGTGTTAAACCTGCTGGCTGAGATTGATGAAGAGAGCAGCAGTAGTGAGAAAGTTAATAGATCTTTTATCTAATGCAGACTTTAGGAATGGTTTGGGGTGGCAGGTACCTGGTGTGAAATAGAGATATTTACAGCTTTGAAACAGTGACTAGGCTTTGTCTAGCTGGCAGGCAGTATAAAAGAAGAGCAGGCTTGCATGAAACCACTTACTCTAGAAGCGAATAAATCCTTGTCCTTGGGAAATGGTGTGATTTTCCCCCCCCTCCCCCCCCCCAAATTCTGTCACTAAACCCTACTTTCTTTCTTTTTTTTTTTAAATATATAATACCAACTATATTGAAAAGATCCACCCAGTGCTCCAACTGAAAACATCTCTTTCCAGTCTTTCTCATCCATCCCTGGGGTTTGCCCTATAGGATCAGACTATAGATCCACTGATCCACTGATTGCATAGCTACCGGGGTTGTATGTAAGCCCTTTCTGAAGAGAGGGTCCAAGGGAAGAGCTCTATAATGGCAGGGGGATCCCCTTCTGAACCCAAAGCAGCTGATATGCCTTGAAACTGAAGGGTTACATTATATTTTCAGGAAAGCAACAGCAAAGAGTTTAGGAAACAAAGAACAGTTTACTTACAGTTTGTGGATTATTTTTCTTAGCACTAGGTTTCATATTTGTGTACGTTTCTGTGTTTGTTATTAGTGTGTGGAGAGGAAGAGGGGGAAGTGCAAGTTGTAAGGTAAAGCTTCACACTCGAAGCATCAAATACTTTGACATTTGTGAAGAGAACCCAAGTACTTGTTCCATTGCATTTTACAGCTAAGTGGTGTAATTTTGGGTAGTTGTTATTGAATTTGAAAGCTTTTTTTTTAATTTTGGACTTTTAGACTATTTCTGTGTCATTTACAGTGGCAAACCAGATAATTTGAAGTTGTATGAATGTGTTCTGTGATCAGTCCTAGGTTTTTCCCTCTTGTATGAATCATTAGGCATTGCACTGTCCTTCTCAGTAAGAAAAAAATAATGTAGGTGTCCTGAAGGGAGTCCTTCTGTTACCCATTTTACACCTTTTTTTATGTGTTTCTGCTGAAAGAAAAAACTCAGCAATAGCTTAGCTCCTTTCTCTTGGCTCTCCAACATAAATTCTCTTTTAGCCTCTTCAGGCAGGGCTGAGAGTTTCACCATCATGATGTTATATTTAATATGGAATGACTAATGCGTATTGGCATCACTTGAAGACCATGTGACTTTATTCAATCCTGCCTCCTGAAACAATGATCATATGCTGTGAGATACTTTGGGTGGTCATATGTTGTCCCCCGTTTCTCGGCTGGTAGTAATAATAGGGACCCAGGGACAATACCTCATCCTCTGTGCTGTGTTACTAGGGATTAAATGGAATTAGAGAGGATCTCTAGTTTGCATGTTTAACCCTTCAGTGGATGGCTACCTTGAAAGGAGCAGTGGGTTTGCTAGGGACCAGTGGTGCGAGCATGTATATCATGTATGACAAATGAGAGGGGTAACAGTTTGGGAGGTGAACTACTTGTTCAGTTCAACGTCTTTCACGTACTTTAAATAGAGCCGTCGTTTCCAACAAAGGGAGAGAAGGGTATGAATGAGGAAAGTGTATAAACTTTAAATGAAAGATTTAGTGATGGCATTGATTTGGAAATGGAAGTGCTTGGAGAGGCAGATAGATGGTCTTAGTAGCACTTTTTACCTGTGAATGTTAACATGCCCTCAGAAGAGGGGTGATTGTCTGCTTTTTCAGTCAGGGAAACATGTGGTGCTGAGTTTTCTTTTGCATTTGTACATTCGTAGTTGCTGCTTGTGCTACGTTTAATGACTGGCACTACTGGAAAGCTTGGACTTCCAAGTTGGGGAGGGCTTTTATCTCCCAAATCCGTAGCCTAGGAAAAAAAGTGTTCTTTCTTTGATCAGGCAAGGTATGTGGATTTTAGGCAATGCTTACTGCTGGCATAGTAAAGATCTGGAAATTAACGAAGACATGCAGATTGAATGGCCCTCTCCTCTTGGAAGGAAAATCATAGGACACTTCACCTTGACTCAGTGTGAAC